ACGCAGCAGGAATTTGGTTGTTCTTTCCCAGATATTCTAATGCATTAATAATTAGTCTAACATTACTCTTCATCTGTCTCCCCTGTATAAAACCTGTTTGGTCGGTGTGTATCAATTGTTGAATAACCAGCATTAACCTGTTTGCTAGTATTTTAGTAAAAAATTTATAATCTACTTTAAGTAATGAGATAGGTCTATAATTTTTTGGTTGGGTAGTATCTTGATCTTCTTTGGGTATCAAAGATATAAACGCTGTCTTCCAAGATGGAGGCACCTTACCTTCCGTTTGGCTACTCAATCTTTTCTTGAAAACCTCCAATGATGGGGTGCCCACCACTCTGAGAGGCAAGCCAGTTAGTTTTAATTTAGTGCTTACATTTAACTAGGATTTTAAAAATTACTTCACAACACTTTCCACGTATAACCTCTAAATAGTTTTAAATCGTGTCCCAAATAATAAATTTAAGATAGACTACGCAGATGAAAATAACTCAGAAGATCTGTATATTTCCAGTATCTAAATGAAGAATGCATATTTCATTTCATTTTTCACAAGTAGATATTTCTTGACTAAATAGGCTGTGTTGTACAGAAAGTAGATTGTGCAAAAGTGAATATTGGACATCTCTAGAAAGATAAAATTTCTTTGTAAAAATGCACTGCTTATTATTTGATTCAGTAGTACTGTTGAACATTGTGGACTGACAGAAGAGTGGCATTTGTGGACAAGAGCTGAACTGCTAGTGAGCTGAGCTAAGGCAGATAATCCAGTCTGCATTCCTATTTATTTCTCTCCCATATTGTTAACTTCCACCACAAAGCAAAATCCTACCTCTATGGGGACTGAATAACATCCACTAGAGCAGTATTTCTCAATTTAGCAACTTTAAGGTGTATAGTCTTCAAATCCCAGAATTTCCTGCTAGTTTTCCCAACAATAAGATGCTTTGCAGTGACTCTGTTTAAGGCACATCCAGAAAATTGGTCAATTGTTGTTGCCCTTTCTGCAAGACAGTAGAAAAGTGCCTCAGCATAATTTGCTCTGTCCCCACAGCCAAACATCATTCTGCTTCGCTTACAAGGCTGGTAAGTTATACTAACTTATGAATTTACTTTGGGGCAAGTTAAGGTGTAAATTGATAGATTTTCCTGCCCAAGTATGTATGAGTGATATGGGGGGAGGGAAATTATCCAATAGTTCCCCCACGGGACTGGTAGAAGAGGCATGTTTTCATAGATTACTAGAGTGATGTAATTAGCATAGCCATCTATCTGAATCCTTGTATCAATACAGAGCCACCTGTCTGACTGACAACTTATGTAGAAAAAAGCATATCCTTCCTGGAAGTTCACTTGAGAAAGGTTCGAGTTTCTTACTTTTTCTAGCAACATGGATACTACTGCTCTTTTGGTGTAATGTCAGTCCAACAGAACAAACCAAAATGGCCAAGGAGGTCAAATGGCAGACACTTCTGGAGGGCATGTCCACAACAGCTATAAACAGCCAATAGGAGATGGGTAGATCTCAGCCCTGCCATTCATTACCATGGTCATTGCCAAATAAAGCCAATCATGCACACAGCAAGATTGTGTCAACAGAAGATGGAAAATGACAGTTCCATATCAGATTGGGGGGGAAAAAACATTTAATGGTCTTGGCTGTTAGGTAGACTAAGGAAAACTACATATATCTGTATCCATGAAAAATAATTAGCAAGACATCTTCAAGAAAGGTGGGGTGGTAAATGCTTCTATATTAGACATTTCCAAATTTGGCTTGATTCCAGATGACTGCATCCATGCAGTTTTGGATGTATTATTGAAGTGGTTTGCCTTTGCCACCTTCTATAATTTTTTCCTTCCAGCCTCAAATATAACCAAGAAACCTGCAATTCTCTTTAGTGATCTCTATCCTATGTATTTATTTGATCTTGCATTGCTTTCTGAGACCAATTGAGATTGGTCAAGTGTCATCACTGGAATTGTAAGTCCTAAAAGAAAGCAATAAGAAACATCACAGAATCGACTGTATTAAAGACTGATGTGTGCATTAAGTCACCAAGAGTCAAGCTTAACTCAATAAATATTATACTTTTATTTCTTGCAACTTAAAATATTTGCTATTCTCACCACTTCTTACTCTGCTATTTTTCAAATGTTTTTTGCTAAAGTCTCTAAATCTGAAAAACCCTCATTTTTATATTTATGATATAGGGACTTTAATACCATGCTTCCCTGGCAATAAGACCTGGTCTTATTTTCTTTTGGGCCCCACAAATAAGCACTAGGTCTTGTTTTCAGGGGATGTCTTATTTTCCCCCATACAGGCGGCTGCACAGTGTGTCTGGCATGCCAGTGCTGCAACCACGAGCCAAGGCAGCAGGCAGGGTGGGGCAGGGCATGGCTGGCTACCTCCTGTGTAAAAAAGTAAGACAAATCGAAAGGTGAAGTCGGTGAGGTGTGGGAAAAGATCCATTGAGGAAAAAGAAAATGGAAAGGCACAAAGAACCGGGCAAAAAGTCACACCCTACTCCCAATGGGTTGTTTCATCCTTCAGGAGAGAAGCAAAGTTTCGATCCCCCTTCTGGAGTGGAGCACAGAGCAGGACACACAGGCAGACTGCCCTGCGGAGCTCCAGCTGGCCTTACCCAGCCTTCCCTGTCAGGAAGGAGACCGCTGCCTCCCAGGGGGGGCGTTCCATCCTTCCTAAAGCCACAGCCCCCCCTCTGGCCCTGCAATGCCGCCCCTCTCCATGTGGGCCCTGTCTGGATGGGTAACAAAGGATACTGTTGGGGTGGCGGGGCCTGCAGAGCCCTGATGCTGACTGGGTGAGGCGATGGCATGAGCCACGCTATGGCAACCAGTGAACTAATTTTAATCCATTTGACTGCATTGGTGGGGCAGTGATTGAAGTTAAGGGAGGGAATGGAAATAGAAGGCCTTCAGGAAGCAAACTCCCCCCCCCCCCAGAAGACACAGAACATGAATTCATATTAATTCCAAATATGGTGATTTACTTTTTGGGGGAAAAAATCAGGAAAGTTAACAGTAAGAATGTGAGATTCCCAAAAGCTCTGTAGAGATTCTCAGTCATCCAGAACATGGTTGTCCCAAAGGTGCTTTTTCAGTAGGCAACTGGACTTTCTTGCTTTTTCTTTGAAGACATTTTGCTTCTCATCCAAGAAGCTTCTTCAGCTCTGACAGGATAGTGGGGAATGGAAATCCTGTCAGATCTGAAGAAGCTTCTTGGATGATAAAAAACAAGAAAGTCCAGTTGCTTCCTGAAAAGCACCTTTGGGACAACCATGACCTGGATGACTGAGAATCTCTACAGACTTTTAGCTATACAATTTGGGATTAACACTCTTTGAATGATGTGGGAGTAGGAATGGATTTCCAGAGAACAGAAAAATTGCAGACTACAGGAACCAGAACCACTACTCAGGTGACCCTGAGGACACAGACAGCAGACAAAGACATCAATAGATTATCATGACATCTCCAAATTAAAATGTACAAGCAATTAAAAATTGCCAAAAATCTCATAAAATATTAAATAACTTACACTTTTAGGCAAAAATGTTAATCTCATGGGATTTCAGTATTCTCACATGACTTTATGTAAGATTTTGATATTTTGATATTCTTAAAATAAGATTGCCTGTTCTCATAAAGTTTTAAATACATATTTATTTTCTTTGGAGTCTGTATAAGAGAATGAGTGATAGCAGCTGAATAGATTGTTAAACTCTACTGTAAGGCTAAATTACTGTCTTTTAACCCATTACTTAACAGCTGCAATACTGAGTCTTCACACTTATATATACACCCCTGGTCCTCCTTGTCCAATTTTCATTTTGAGAAAGCCAGTAAACATCAAGTGGTCCACAGAAATATTTCTGAGACAAAATATGCTATCATGGCTGTGCCTGCTTACAAAATATATTTTTTTAATTGTGCTTTGATACCTAAATTTTATGTTATTCAGGATCTTTTCTGTCAAATTATTGTATTTTTAAAAAGCTGGCAAAACTACATGAGGTTTTGTAATTCCATTGGTTCCATAATCATATTTTAAATCCCAAGGAATATTCAATAAACAACATTTGTTTAACATCTGCAGGTCTTATATAAGTAATTGACTGCAAGAATGGAAACCAGAATAGCATATTCTCCCATTATTCAATCACATTATCTTAATTATTTTTGTTTTTTCCTTCATTAAGTTGACGCAATAATAATACTCCAAATAAAAAAATAGCAAACTATGATTTTTTTCAAAGAAAATCCTCCTGAGTACTCATTGGAATGATTAGAAGAACCACCCCAATGTGGTGCCTTTCCAACATCTGGAACTACAGTCTTGTTCTAGTCACAACGGCACTAGGTTGGGCCACTTAGTTTATTTGATTGCAGCTTTGGATAAATGTTTCAAGGTATTTTTATCATTGTTATTGGAAACTTGACAAAATCAAATATTATGTTAAGTTAGTAACATGTTAAGTGAATCTTGCTTCCCCATTGACTTTGCTTGTTAGAAAGTCGCAAAAGGTGATCACACGATCCTGGGACACTGCAAAGGTCATAAATATGAACCAGTTGCCAAGCATCTCAATTTTCAATCAGATTTTTCTTCCACTTGTACTTTCCAGATTAATAATTATACTTAAGTTGAAAACAATTCCTTCTGTTTAAGATAGGTTGAATAGGAGGCATCGCATTCCCACCCTCAATATTTTTAAGGAAAGGAAAAAGAGCATTAGGATGCAATAAAGCATGATTACTCCAAAGCTAATACAAAATATTCCTCACATGGATCAGAAGAACCTAGAAATGCTGAATACTAACATGGATGAGTAACATCTAGAATGGCCTAATTTACAAATACTAAATACTATTGAGGCATAGTACTTTATTATTCCTGTTTGCTTCCATTTTCATTAATTGCCCAAATTCCTAATATGGTTTATTCTTGCATGCCTATTTCTAATGTAATTTCTATGCAATGAAAGAACTGCAAAAGTTCATGACTAATTCTGGATAGATATTCAACAGCTCATACATTGTATTTGAAACATTTTAGTCAATAAACCACAATTAACTGAGTTTGCTCAGTGCATTAAAAAATAAACAATGGCTAAATAATAAACACACCAAGCAAAAACAAAACTTATTATAACATAGAACTCTTCCATACAGCCTCATTAATTTGCATGTCCTCAGTCCATGAATCAGCTCAAATATATGCTAATATAAATTACGTTCCCCTGATGACGGCCAAGTCCTATTGTGCCTCATTTCTTGACTGGTGATTGCTGCTATCCTTGCACTTTTAATTCAGGACAAATTAAAGGAAATGTAGTGATATATATTCCCCAGCTCCATTTCTATCACCACAAGCATCACCTGCTGGCAGGAAAAACAACTACAACAACCAGTAACTGACCTTGTGGCAGGATGGAGTTAAATAAACAGATGCCTGGGACGTTGGATTCATATTGCCAAATGGATAAGTTGTCAAGATGGAGGGGCTTAGTCTATCTAGATCTATCACTTTGAGTATTACTGAATGTAAACTGAGCACTATTCTGAGAAAGCGGTGGAGAAGCTGGGTTGGAGCTCCAGGACTTTTCTGAAACAACACTCCATAACTAAAAGTAACTTTATTATGGGTTGCAGACCCAAACTGAACTGCATAAAAGAAAATACAATATAAAATACAAAATGCAATTTAACATAAAAATGTAAAAATAATTTAAGCAGCAGGGCACAATGACAGAAAGAAAAGTTAGTAGAAGTTGCAACCAACAGACCTCCCACTTTGTCTTGCACCATACCTCTAATCCTGGTCTAAGATGTTTCTGATAAGAATTCAATATATTTGCAGAGATAGGAATGTAAATGTGAAAAACAGTATCTCAATGGCCATTTGCTAAAAGTGGTGGCTGCTGGCCAAGAAATCCAGTTTTAATTTTGTTGCTGATATAATCTCTAGAGTATTTAAAATGGCTTATAGGCAATGTTCCCTCTAATTTTTTTTCAGTGTGCGCGGAAAAATATAGTGTTTGAGCGGTATATTTTTATGCCTGAGCACCTGAATTTTTTTCACAGATGTCACCAAGACAACAAGGGCGTCCAAGAGACCCCAATGTGGTGGCGGTGGCCACTGCTTTGGGAAATGGGGGGGAGGCTATGAGTTGTTGGAAAGGGACACATGTAACCCACGCAACCATGCAACTCTGGAGTCGCTTGCCAGCCTGCGATGGAATATAGAGAGGGGGGATTTATATAGGACCTGGCAAATGACAGACTCCATGCTGAATTTTCCCTGGGAAACTCCCCCTCCCACTTAAAAAAACCCTATATATATATTAATCTCCCCCTCTCTATTATGGATTTGATGAAGCTGTCCCATGCAGCGCTGGCTCAAATACTTTGCGTACTGCGTAGATTTCTCGGAAGTGATTTTGGGTGGGTGGGTAAGGAAGAGCTCTCGATCACCTCACGATCAAACCAGCTTCCTACCCCCACCCCCAAATTCCCTACAACTGCCTCCCCAGATTCCAGCCTCCTGCAGAACTCACAGCCCTCCCCTCCCCTGCAAGAAGGAATGCATTAAAGGCTTAACAGCATCTCCCCCCCCCCCCATTAATGCATGCCTGG